TTTCTTTCTTTCTTTCTTTCTTTCTTTCTTTCTTTCTTTCTTTCTTTCTTTCTTTCTTTCTTTCTTTCTTTCTTTCCCCTCCCAGTTTAGACATTGCATTTCTGATGTTCTTTATTCAAATTCTATTCCTTTTAGTCCAAAACAGAACAGAATAGCTAAGTTGGAAGGGACTTTGGAGGTCTTCTGGTCCAGCTCAAGCAGGAGAACCTATACCATTCCAGTCAAGTGTCTGTCCAGTCTCTTCTTAAAATTGTCCAGTGATGGAGCATTCACAACTTCTGGTGGCAAGCTGTTCCACTGGTTGATTGTCCTCACTCTCAGGAAGTTTCTCCTAGGTTGCTTCTCTCCTGGATTAGTTTCCATCCATTGCTTCTTGTCCTGCCCTCAGGTGCTTTGGAGAGTAACTTGACCCCCTCTTCTTTGGGGCAGCCCCTCAAACCCCATTGCCACTGTTTTCTACTATCTTATTTTGTAAGCTGGCTGGAATCGGGACAGATTGGGCTGGCTCATACAGGTCATAAATAAAATGCAATGAAAATGATGCTACATCTTTTTCTAAGAAAAAGGTCCCTGGGTTCTTTATGGGGCAAATACAGACTGCAAGTTTCAACCACTCAGCCCTCATAAACCCTCATTCTTTCTGCAAGACTTAAGCAGAATCCATCTGTCATAAGGGAAGGTGACTCAGGCTCTGTAATTCAGTCATTCGAATTGCAATCTTTTGGGAAGGGGTTGTGGGTGTGGATAGAGGCAGAGTTTCATTTTCCAGAAAGTTCTCGACTAACAATTCCATTTAGTGGCCATTCAAAGTTACAACGGTAATGGAAAGAGTGACTTATGACATTTTTTCACACTTAAGGACCCTTGCAGTATCTCCATGGCCACGTGATCAAAATTCATTTGATCTACTTGCCTCATATTTATGATGGTTGCCATGTCCCTGGGGTCACGTGATCCCCTTTTGAGACCTTCTGACTAGCCAAGTCCACGGGGTCATCACTTAATGACCGTGTTTCTCACTTAACAACTGCCATTAAAGCAGTGGGAAAATTACACATAAAGCACTTTTGTATTTGGCAGGGGTCCTCCAGTTCCCCAAGGCTTTGCTTAGGACAATATTGTGCAAAACCTCAAGGTTACTGAACCAAGGAACTAACCATATTACAGTAAACGAGGGTGGATATGGAAAAAACAGATGGTGTAAGATAAAATGAGTAATTATATGTACTTCTCTTGTCTTGGTATATATGTTATTCTCCTTTGTTGGTATAGTTTAATAAAAGTAATGCCCCGGGCTAAGCTGAGGTCATGACATGTATAAAAGTGACGCCTCAGGAAGAGCCAGGGGTTCAGAATTTGCCATTCTAATGCTCTGAACCTTGTGCACAAATAAAAACCTGTATTCTCCAACCTTTCGTGGTCTTGTGTCCTGATTTGGAAACAGGATCTGCTGCAACACCATGATTTACTTAACATGTGTGGCAAGGAAGGCCACAACATAGGGCAAAATTCACATAACAACTAGCTGTCGGTGCTCTTGTGTCATGCCCTTGTTAGAGTCGGACTCTGAGGGAGAGGAGGAAAAGCCAACAGGGAGTGGAGGTATGGCTCCGGAGGTTGTGGAGGAGGGTGGGGAAGGGCAGAGACCGACTGGGCAGTCAGAGGAAGAACCAGGCCCATCCCCTCTTCATCCTAGGGCACACAGGGAGGAATGGAAAAGGAAACAACTTGGCTTATGAGAGAGGAAGTGGCCATGATCCCCTCATTGGTTGCAGCTGGGGAGAATAGTATATAAGAGAGACGGTTAAAACACAATGTTGCCAGAAGCAAAGCATGTTTTATTTTGGACTGAAGTTATCTTGGTTGGCGTCCTTCCAACAGACTGTGCCTTGTTATCTCCTTGAAGTTGGTCATTACTTATCCTGGTCTGTTGTGGGATTTCCTTCATTGTAGTTTGTTTGGTTGGTTTTTTATTTCACCTCTATCTACTCATTAAGTTTGGACTGTATTGCTTTCTTTTGAAGACTATTTTTGAGTAAGTTTTATCTCCAACTGAGAATTATTGAACAGTGGGGCCAAGTTGGAGGCATTAAAGGACATTTATTTACGTTTTGGATTTTGTTACGTTTGTGTTACACTTCGGGTCACCACACCCAGCATCCACTCCCATTTAAACCATGAGTCTCTAGCCATATCTCTCAGAGTTTCCCGAAGGAAGGAAGGAAGGAAGGAAGGAAGGAAGGAAGGAAGGAAGGAAGGAAGGAAGGAAGGAATAGCAACAGCACATAGACTTATATACTGCTTTACAACTGTCTCTAAGCAGTTTACAATGTTAGCCCGTTAAAAAGAGAGAGAGAGAGAAATGTCTCACATAAAGATGTTTTTATATATGTTTGGCCTGATTTAGACATCTGTTGACAGGAATCTCCCTGTTTGCATTTTTTCCAAATTAGTTGGAAATTAGTTTGGTTCCTTTTTCCTGTTCTTTCACCTAGATAGTTTTCAGTGGAACCGTTTATCTTCCTTCCCATATATTGTTCCATAAAAATTCCCCTGAGTGAGCTTTTTTTTTTTTTTTTAAAAAAAGCCATCCCTTTTTATTTTCAGGCAACTTGCAGAGAAAAGCACTTTTTGTTTTTTGTTTTTTTAAAAAAAGAAGATTCTACAAAAATGTTTCACAGAATCAAATGGGAACAAGAGAAATCTAAAAAAGTAATAATAATGGGAAAATGATGATTTACTACCATGGATGTTTAAACACTGGTGTGGCTGTGGGGGTTGTCACATTGCTGCCAAATCTGGGAGATGGGAACTGTCCAAATTGATTTCCAACATAATTGTGACACAATAATTCTTTTACGTGGGATAAAGTTTAGAATAGAATAGAGCTGGAAAGGACCTTGGAAGTCTTCTAGTCTAGCCCCAGGCTAGAAATCAGGATACAGTGAGTTCTAGTCCTGCCTTTAACCTTGAAAGCCAGCTGGGTGACCTTGGGCCAATCACCAGGACCGTGAGTTCTAGTCCTGCCTTAACCATAAAAGTCATCTCCTCCTCCTCCTCCTCCTCCTCCTCCTCCTCCTCCTCCTCCTCCTCCTTTCCAGTATTGATGATGTCACCTACTTTGGTAATGAAAGGCCTGCAAGAAAACAACCCACCAAGGACCCCACAGTCAGAGACCACCAAGGACCCCACAGTCCCTCCTCTTCCTCCTCCCCCTCCCCACTTCCTTGTAGCATTGATGATGTCATCTACTTCGCTAATAAAATGTCTACAAGAAAACACTCCATTTTGGAGAATTCCACAGTCATTTTCCTTCTCCTCCTTCTCCCAAAATTCTTGTATTCTTATGCTGAGAAGCACACCAACGTTGCTATTGGTAAATGGATAGTGAAGCCCTGGTTGAGCTGACTTTTTTTCTTGCCAATCCCTAGAGTTATATTCATTGTCATAAAACAAAACTGAGCCTTCTTTGTATCTTTCATGGTCCTTGTCCCCAACACAATTAGAAATAAAGCCAGTTCATTCATTCTGTATGCCAGGCCCTCCTTCCCTCAACTGCCTGTCCTGCTTCTTACATCTGGCAATAATTAATGAAAATTTAGAAATCCATCTTAGCAAACACCAGATTCTTTGTGATCTCTAAAAGGGCAGCCAGGTCGCTGTAACACTGAGAAGTCAATCAAATATTTTTACAAGCTTTTTTTTTAAAGGTTCTTTTCCAATACCACTGCTGCTAATCTGGAACTTCGCGAGTCACAATGTTGCTTTATAAGCAAATCCAGATATTCCTAAAATTCCTAGTTGGAAAAAAAGCATGCATGCCCAGGAAAGTTGAAAATAACAAAACCACTCTGGTTGACTTGTACACCAGCCTTGCTTGGGAAAATCAACAGACTATGTGATATGTTCCATGGTTATCAATTATACTGTAGGAAAAGAACAAGCAGAGCCTGGGTTTGGGTGGGTTGGTGGGTGGGTGGGTGGGTGGAGTCAAGAGAGGAACCAGCCTAGAATCATTACGTTCCCACAAATTGTCTAAGTCTGACCTCTCATCAAATTCTTATCTTAGCCATAACTTAGTACTGAGTGTTACTTGACTAGATTCTTGTATTATGGGCCTGAGCAATAAATCAGCTTAATTGGAACTTAACACATAATCTTCTCATCTGAGATAATGCACCCTTTATCTGCACTCCAGAGTTCAGTGAAATGAGAACCTCTGATGACATTAGATCTGCTCTCAGTTGGTCTCCTGGTCAATTCCCTAGTCAATTATCCTACTCTCCGGGTCAATTCCCAATTACAACTCCATTGTAGAATTGGGGAATACCTAAGTATTGGTTGCTGTCTCCCCTCCTTGGAAGAGCTTTATACCTCCTGCTAGGCTTAAGAAAGTTCAAAACATCCTTAAGAATCCATCTCATCCTGAGCACCCCTTTTTATGAACGATTACCATCGGGTAGATGGTACAGGATAATAATAAAAACAAGGGCAAATAGGCTGAAAAACAGCTTCTATCCCAGGGCAGTAACTATACTGAATTCTACTGTATAGTGTAATACTAATGCAGTATCAGGGGTTTTCAATTCAATTGTATAAAATGTGAAGGATGTGTGTTTGTGTTTTATTTTTATAGTTATAATGTACACTGAAGATGGCATTTAATTTCATTGTACAAGGTGCAATGCCAATAAAGTAAACTAAACTGAGTAGCTTAGACCCAATCAAACACAGGAACAAGTAGAAAGATACCTAAACTCTCTGAAACACCATTCAAAACAAAAACCAGCTACTTAAACTTTTCTATTTTGACCTACATATTCATTATTAAAACCAAAGTGAGCTTGGTGCACACCCTACTGTTCAGAACTCAACATTCACGATTGCAAGATTTTTGTAGACTTCATTTGGCTATAACTCACTAAAGAACAATGCAGCCAGCCTAGCTGAAGTCGAAGAACTGCATAGAAATTAGTTGTGGTTGATTATTTCCTTAGAAGCATGCTTAGGTTTTTTGGAAAAAAATAATCAATCAATCAGAATAGATCTGGAAGGGACCCTGGAGGTCTTCTAATCCAATCCTCTGCTCAAGCAAGAGACTTTATACCATTTTAAACAGGTAGCTTCTTAAAAACCTCCAGTGATGGAGCATCCACAGCTTCTGAAGGCAATTTGTTCCATTGGTTAATTGTCTTTAGTGTCAGGAAGTTTCTCCTTAATTCCACGTTGCTTCTCTCCTTGATTAGTTTCCATTCATTGCTGCCTTCTCCTCTTCCTGCACCTAAATATTGCTGTGAAACAAAAGCAATTTATCAGTTTGAGCTTCACCAATCCATAATAACCGAGAGGGTTTTCCAGAGGAAACATTTTCTAGGCCAGTCTCGCTTTGAGAAAATAATGTCTGCTCTATTCTGATAAACCAAAGGTGTTTTTTTCAAGAGGCAACTGGGCTTACTTCCAAGAAGCTTCTTCAGCTCTGATTGGATGGTGGGGAATGGAAGGATTTATACTCCTTTCAGACAGCTGGTCATTTGCATTCTTTTAGAACAAGGATCTTCAGACTTGACAGCTTTAAGACTTGTGGACTTCAACTCCCAAAATTCCTGAGCTAACATGACTGGAGGAGGAATTCTGGGAGTTGAAGTCCACAAGTCTTAAAGCAGTCAAGTCTGAAGACCCCTGAATTGTAGAAAGTCATTGAGGCCACTCAGAGGCTTGCCAAGGTGACCAGCTGTCTGCAAGGAATAGAAATGCTTCCACTCCCCACCATTCAGTCAGAGCCGAAGAAGCTTCTTGGATGAGATGCAAAACATCTTCAAAATAAAAACCAGAAAGTCCAGTTGCCTCTTGTAAAAAGCACCTTTGGGACAACCACGACCTGGATGAATGAGAATCTCCGTAGACTCTATTCTGATAGACTTAGGGGAAAAAAAACATATTAAAATATTCTTGTTATTTTCCTTTCCAGGAAGCTGTCATCGAAAAGGGTACAATTGCCTATCAGAACTGGGTCATTCCAGGGAGTCCCATCTACCGACAGTTTTGGCTCTTTGATGTACAGAACCCAGAGGAGGTGATGCAGAATGGGTCTGCTCCAATCCTTAAGCAAAAAGGTCCTTACACTTACAGGTAAGTCAAGACCTGTGGATCAGAATGTCTTGGGGACATGGAAGAGGGATTAGAGAATCAACAGAGATAGTTCATTGAATTGGGACAGGAGATTGAGTCCAACTTCCTACACAGTTGTTGTTAGTTGCAAAGTCATGTCTGACCCATCACGACCCTATGGACATCATTCCTCCAGGCCTTCTTGTCCTCTACCATCCTCCGGAGTCCATTTAAGCTCACGCCGACTGCTTCAGTGACTCCATCCAGCCACCTCAATCTCTGCCATCCCCTTCTTCTTCTTTTGCCCTCCATCGTTCCCAGCATTGGGCTCTTCTCCAGGGAGTCCTTCCTTCTCATGAGGTGGCCAAAGTCTTTCAGTGTCCTCTTTAGGATCTGGCCTTCTAAAGAGCAGTTCAGGGTTGATCTCTAGGACTGACCGGTTGGGTGGCCTTGCAGTCCAAGGGACTCACAGGAATCTTCTCCTCCAGCCCCAGAGTTCAAAGGCCTCCATTCTTTGGTGTTCAGCCTTCCTTATGGTCCAACTTTCAAAGCCATGCATTGCAACTGGGAAAACCACAGCCTTGACTCTGCGCACTTTTGTTGGCAGGGGGATGTCTCTGCTTTTTGGTATGCTGTCTAGAATCCCTAACCTTAACTCCTACACAGTGCTAGAATCCATAATAGAATGGTCATAATGGAGGAAGGTCCATAATTGCTTTGACACATCCAGTGAAGGAGGTTTATCTCCTCTCTGAGTTCAACCTTTGAATTACTTGTGAAGATTTTCTAGGGGTTCAACCAGAACCTGCCTTTCATAACAGAAGACCCGTTTTTATTTTTTTATTTTTTTACTATAACAGAGAACAAATAATTTGGCTCTCTTTGGTTCTGTCTATGTAGGGGTTACCTAATGTTAGGACTCATTGATTCATCCTTGTCCAGAATTGATTTTGGTAGACCAGTAATGGATGGATGAAATGAATCATGGCGGTGTCGGATTGATATATGTATGTCTGTAAATTTTGAGAGTTTGTTTTTTTCCCCTTTTTTTTTCAATTTTTGATTTTCTCAATTTTTGTGTGTTTAGGTAATAAAATAAGTACCTATTTTATTCCTCCTCCTCTTCTTCCACTCCACCAGCACCCCGCTCTTTTCTAGCACTGGGGATGTTACCTAATTGGGTCATGAAATGTCTGCAAGAAACAATCAAGCTCAGAAAGCACCACCGTCTCCTTCTCCTTCTGCTCCTGCTCCTCCTCTTCCCCCTCCTCCTCCCCTGCTTCTCTTCCTTCTCTCTCTCCCCCTGCCCTCCTCCTGCTTCTCTTCCTCCTCTTTCCCCTGCTTCTTCTCCTTCTCCCCCTGCTTCTCTTCCGTCTCCTTCTCCTTCTGCTCCTGCTCCTCCTCTTCCCCCACCCCTTACACAAGAAACAGCCTGCAGCTCACAGATTCCCTATACCTTAGCCTTTATACACTTAGCAAATGGCTGGAAAGTCTTAATAACTGGTTATTACCTAATATATTTTTCTTCCCCATTGTTTGTCCTTCCATCATAGCGATGATTTCTGTTTCTCCCCCCCTAAAATCAAATAGAGTTAGTTGTTCAGATGTGCTTTTGATAGATGGTATTCTTGGGAAACACTGTAGTTAGAAAATGAGAGGAAATATTTCCCTGGCTTTGAAATCAAATTAGAAGGGAACACAAATGGATAACTTCATCAAGAGGCAGTAAACCCGCACGGTGCCTATTTAAGGGAAGGGGAATTATGGGAGGGGTAGTTCCATGCCTAACATCTGGAGAGGGAAGGTTTAGCACGTCTTAGATTGCACACCAAAAAGTCATGTTTTAAATGGTTTGTTGTTGTCCATGAACACAACTCTCTAGAGCAAGTTGACCAGTGGGGTTGTTGTTTTTTTCATTCCAGCTTCTACAAGGCAGCTTTGTTTTGTTTTGATCTCCATGGGGATATTATATAGGAGTCCTTCTGGCTTGGCCCAAGGTAACTGTTTGCCTTGGGTTGAATTGTGTCCTTGGGCTAATAACAACAGAAAGCTTCTTTCAAGTGTGTGTGTGTGTGTGTGTGTGTGTGGCTGTGTGTGGTTTGCTGTTCCTAGTGGCTATCTGAACAGCCATCAAAATGAAACGATATCTGAACCATCCACTTTGGGCTGGGAGGCAGAAGGATTATGGCTTTTCATCAGGATTCATAAAGTAATGCAAAACATATTGAAAGAGACTTCAAATGTGCATATATATGTGTTAAGGAAAGAAAAGGAAAGGAAGGGGAAATGGAAGAGAAGGAAAGGGAAGGAAGTAAATAAATGGGGAAGGGAAGGAAAAGAAAGGAAAGGAAAGGAAATAGATGGGGGAGGGAAGGGAAGGGAAGGAAGTAAATAGATGGGAGAGGGAAGGGAAGGAAACAAAAGGAAGTAAATAGATGGGGAAGGAAAGGAAAGGAAGTAAATAGATGGAGAAGGGAAGTAAGTAAATAGATGGGGAAGGGAAGGGAAGGGAAGGGAAGGAAAAGAAAGGAAAGGAAAGGAAAGGAAAGGAAAGGAAAGGAAAGGAAAGGAAAAGGAGTGCAAGCTTTAGAACATAGAATAACAGAGTTGGAAGGGACCTTGGAGGTCTTCTAGTCCAGCCTCCTGCTCAAGCAGACAAATTGGTTGTCCAATCCCTTCTGGAAAACCTCCAATGATGGAGCACCCACAACCTTCAAAGGGAAGCCCTTTCCACCGATTCCATTGTTTGCCCCTTAACAAGTGGTGTCTTCTTCTCCTTTTTCCCTCAAAGGATGCGCTATAAGCCCAAAGAAAACATCACCGAATATTTTGACAACACCCTCTCATACTTCCAGCCGAACATCATCCGTTTTGAACCCGATCTGTCCATCGGCTCAGAAAACGACACTGTCACCACTGTCAACCTTGCTGTTGTGGTAAGTGAGCCCTCCCATCAAGATTTCCCTCCTCTGAAGATGAAATTGGAATAGTCGGTCAATAAAAATGGGGTTTGGGGATTCTCAGGACTGTGGGATGAGGTTCTGTTTTAGTCTCTTCATGGATGAATGAAATGGATTTTTTCAGATGATTCACCTGAAAATTTCCTAAAATTAGTCCCATTTGACTCCCACGCATTTACTGCCTCTTTCCCACAAACATGTTGTGGTTGTGTTACCCTGGCCATGGATGTTCTTCAGCTTCAGCTTCTTTTCCATTTAAACCTTTGGAGACTGAGGAAGCTTCTCAGATCCCCTTGTCCGCTCTATTTTTGGCTACTTTGATGAGATGGCAAACAAAGGTACCAATTACTACGGCTTGGTAGCGTCTCTGGAGGAGCCATCCAGACCTCCAGAGATTGTGAAGTTCTCTGTAAAACATATTGCCCGAACCTCTTGGGCCCGTGTGTGCTGAACGATTTAGTCCTTGTTTGTATCCAATTTTTGAAATAAGACTATTTAAATACACATCTAAATCTCTATCTATCTATCTATCTATCTATCTATCTATCTATCTATCTATCTATCTATCTTATCATCTATCTATCTATTTATCATATCTCTGTCTCTATCTCTCCCATCTCTCTCTCTCTCTCATCTATCTATCCATCTATCTACACTATATATCTTTATCTATCTATCTATCTATCTATCTATCTATCTATCTATCTATCTATCTATCTATCTATCTATATATCTATCTTTCTATCATTTATCTATCATATCTCTGTCTGTGTCTGTCTCTCTCTCTCTCCCTGTCTCTCTCTTTCACTGCCTCTATCTATATATATATACACACATACATACATACACATATACACACACACACATATAATCTCTCTCTCTCTCTCATCTCTATCTCTCTTTCTCTCGATCTATCTATCTATCATCTCTCTCTATTTCTATCTATTTGTCATCTATCCATCTAGCTATCTATGCTATATATCTATTTATCTGCTCTATCATCTATCTATCTATCTATCTATCTATCTATCTATCTATCTATCTATC